TGGGGAAGGGAGGGGTGAACGAGCGTGAGGGAGACACGGAGAGAGGCTGGGTTTGAAGACTTTTGCGGAGGCAAAGACAATAGAGGGAGAAAGATTTTGTGTGTGAGAGAGGGATTAGTCGAAAGGCAACGGTAACGACGACAGCGCTAAGCATGCGATAACCCGTCCATCACGAGGAAAGAGAGTAACGGTGTGACGCCACGCACTATAGCTCCTCCTCAACGATATCCATTCAATTCTCCCACAACAGATTGTTATTGTGCACATATTGTAGCAATGTTCACAATCCTAGTCAGCTTCGGCTGGTCTCATCCATCCAGAACTCCTGATTTCCTCAAAACAAATAAATTGCACCCCCTTGCCCTTGACAACAGCCGAGAATCGTACCAAGTAGCTACGCAGGGTAGACGGGTCGACCACGTACGTGCTGCAGGTTAATATATCGTGCAGCTTTTAGTTTTTGGTTGGAGCAAACAACCTCCCCAAAAGAAATCGATTGACCAACAACAGCCCCGCACACGCCCATTCAGGACTATCACCACCACTCATCCATTCCATTCCCCTTGTCCTTCCTATCTGTCCGTTGCTTCTGTGTATGCTGACTGGTCCGGGACGACAGAAACCCGGGGGTGGGGGGGCACCTTTCGTGCGGCGCGCCGCCGATGCCGCCCCCCTTTCCACGTTCGACTGGAACCTAGTACGCACCCATTGTCCAATCATACCTCTGATGCAGCCGAGACGTCAGCGAGCGGTAGAGATAAGGGAACGAAATACTGATGCCCATATGCGGTGAAGAGACGGAGTAGCATGGGAAAGAGCAAGAAACCTCGTAGTGACGAATGGACCACGAACATCGGAAAGTAATGAAGAAAAGGGCAACCGAAGACCGCTTCGGGCTCTGAATAATGATAGACAATAGATACTTACGAACTTGAGGGGATACGAGTGGGACACGATCGCCTGCTTTCGAGCACCCGGTGGCCTCGTTGTCGTGGCGAACCGTTTCTCGTCTGGCCTAGACCCTACTTTTCTCCAAATGCCGTATGTACGGCACGACGCTCACTATTTTAGCAAGCGTCGTGTCGTGCCGTTCTCTCTGTTGTATCTCCACCGTTATAGTGGTGCTGTGTACCGAATCATCGTGCCAGGTATATGCTTCTTCTGCTTTGCTCCGCTGGATTGTGTTCTGTTATGCGTGTCATCGTGCTAGGGAAGGGTAAGCATGCCATAGCGTTCTGCACACATCGCTTCTCTTCACATCCAAGGTCACTTTGTTTCACCCAGCTAACGTAAGCGAGGCGTGAGGAGGACAAGCAAAGTAAATCGGAACCTTGGACAGGACAAGAGGAAAAGGGACCAATATAGTGGAGGAAGCGGCCGCCCTAACAACACGACACGCAGGCCGCCGTATCTGTCCGCACGGCGCCTATTCGTCCGTCGTTATCATCCCTCATCGTCGGAATGCGCCCTGGAAGGTCCATCATGCTGGCGGTTTGTTCGTCGAGAAGGCGGAAAGAACGCTTTGCTGCCTCTTTGCCGCGATCTTGAGGTTGGCGAACCTTGCCTCGGGCAGCCGCTTGCCTGCCTTGATGCTTTCCAGAACCCTGGTCGAAAAGGAGAGGACAGCGTTAGCGTAAGCACAGTATCCGTCAAGCTGTGCATCATACACCGCAGGCCCAGCCAACGGAGAGGGGGGTGGGTGAATGAACGTTTGGCCTGGAAAGAGACTTTACGGAGTCCCAAGAAGGACGAACATGGAAGGAAAGAGGTGGTAGCACAGTATACGCATATCCTATGCCCAGCTAGTCGCCGGGGAAGAGGATGAACTTACCATTCGACACCGACATACTTGATGCCACAACCGCCGACTCTGCGGATCTCTTTCTCCAGTTTCCCGCCAGCGAGTCCACCACCGGCGCCGGTATTTCGGCCAGTCGGTTTGCCTAGGATGACGTGAGTGACCTGGCGGCGGCCGAGATGAATGGACATACGAGCGCCGTTCTCGGCAAGGATTTGCTTCAATTTATGATCAGAGATCAGGGGATGGGTGCTACCATTGACGTAGATGTTCAACCCATCAAAGATTTTTCTGATGTTGCTTGAGCCTCCTCCTCCTTCCTCCTCTTTCCTCTGCCCGTGTTGCGTGGGACCCGATTCCCGAGTTTCCTCCTCTTCAACCGGTTGACTCCCATTCTGTGACGCTCCCTGTTCTTGTAGACGAGCCCGTGACTGCGAAGTTGTCTGTGACATGGTCGCCATGGTTCCAGGATTACGTAGCATATCGGCAACGCTGTTCAGTGCGCGAGCTCGTACCTCCTTTGGGATCAAGACGCCACGCTTTTCGTCAAAGTCTTCGGCGCCAGCCCCAACAGAGTCCGAGATTCGGTCGCCACCGGAAGAACTGGCGCGGAACTGACTTTGCAGTTTCCTGGCACGAGACTCGCGCCACCCGGTTGGCACCCGAGTTTCGGCTCGCTGATGGCCGGCCGCTACCGAATTCCACGGGTCGAACGCGCGGCCAGCATGGATTGGCTCTGCCGGTGGCGGCTGTTCAGGATGGATAGGAGGAGCCATGGCACAGCCTGTTTGCTTCGTGGTTGTTGGCTGTATGGCGTCTTCCGGGCTGTCACAACGTCAGTCGATTATGGGAGCGATCCAGCAGGTGGTTGTGGCGTTGTCGGGATGCGTAAATCGTATGTGTTGGTCGAGTGATAGATAGCCATTGGAGAGTCCAAAATAGAGTGGAATTGCACGGCAGGTTGGTTGAACATTGCAGCATATGGAATGGGACGCGAGCAGTTGGCCAACACGTCGACCCGAAACACGACTTTCCAAAGGGATCCCGTTCCATTGCCGCGTCTCCATCTTCAAAGCGCTCGCGAAGTCATGTGAGTTCGACCGCTGTTGCCCTCCCTTTAGGAGTGTGCTTTGTCTCAGCGGTCACTTTGTTTCTTGTGTCTGTTAACGCGAAGCCCTTGAAGCTTTTGGTTTTGCTGTGGTGCACTAACAGAGACTCTGACTTTGACATGCCTGCCACTTCACATGTCCAGCGTCCATCATGCCGGCCGGGTACCTCAAGTCGAAACCTGTGAAGGTGTGACAACAAACACTGTCTTGAACCCTGGAACTCAACTGAACTTGGAGCATCACACAACTCACTCTCGAGACATCGGATACGTCCAAACATTTACTTGCCGTTTAGACTTTCTTTCTTCGGTCCTTTTAGGCAGAGTTGTTGGTCAGCTTTGAAAACAACGGCACCAACAACCCGCGCTTGTTCTTGCCAGCCACCCACGCCGACACATCTCTTAACATCCCACTTGTCAAGTTGACCCCCCCCCCCCCGGACCCCCTCAAGGTGCTGTTTGCTATTGAGAGACTGTTTCTCGAGCCGCGCAACTGCGCCGACGCCGTGGACTCAGGTCGGCTGGCCGGGAAAGGCGCACAAAAAAAGCAAGGACTGGTACCGAATCACATCAGCCTGACAAGGGTAACACAAAACTAAGAGAACAGCGGCATTCAACGATACCCGGCCCCGACAGGAGTGGCTAGAGAGGGGGGTACTTGAAAAAAAAAAAAAAAAAAAAAAAAAAAAAAAACCCAATTCATTAGGTGCCGCTAGATTGCGAGAAAGAAGCAGCGGCGTTGGCGTAGCTCTTCCCTTGCTAGATAGCTCTCGCGTTTAGGGGAAACAGTATGGTAATATTTCATGATAACTTCCTTGATGTCGACTCTCCCTTCCCCTTTCGTCTTCTCGGCTTCGGCTAGCAAGGACCCTTTTCTCGACATCCCCTCCCGAGACACGGTTGATCCACGATAAAACACAGCAAAAGAAAAGAAAGGAAAAGAAAAGAAGGCCTGGGCAACATTACAAGGAAGTAGGAAATGCTAATTATTGATTGCTTACTTACTATTATTACTACTTGTGAGTATCTCCGGACAGGTACGGTAGCCTGGGTTATGTCCGTCATTGTCCCCAGCCTCCTCACACAAATCAACCGCCGCCGTCATCACAACATCCACATCCACATTTTCCGTTCTTCTTGTGTAAAATTAGACTCTAGCTACATTGTGAAAGCCCCTCCATGAACCATGTACCCATCACACACAACCCTAGCTCGCCTAGCCAAGCGAAAGTGATACATGTGTAGTGAGAAGAGGCTCAAGAGTTGACCAGTGGTCAAGCTTCCGAATCTCATCGCCCACCACTGCACTGTAGATCACCGAACGGGCCGCCTTGCGCCCTGCGAGTCTCAATTGCTCATGTACAATACCTATGCGTAATGCAAGTACTGCAGTAGCTATGGCACGATTGCACATACACTACATACGCATCAACGGCTATGTAAGGCATGACCGGTAGGTTAGCAGCTATGTAGGTGGTGTGGATGCCATCCATAGTCTACACACACTATTTTATGCATAACGTATGTGTCTGTCTACATACCGTAGTGTATAATCAGTGGGGGCCATGGGCCAGAGAAGACGGCGACACCACGACAACGACGGTAATGAAAAGACTCGCCTGTTGAGACTGTTGTCCGTTGTTATTTTGTTTTATACAACTGCCGAAAGCTGCCGAAAGCAACTGAGGAACAGGACAAGCAATCTATTTTGTTCACTTTTGGTAGTTCTCTTGCAACCAGGACCCCGTTGCCAATTTGAGGCAAAGCCAACCAAATCCGAGGGACAGCATTTACCAATTTCTTGTCTTTGTCCGTCCATCGGAGGCTTTTCCTCGTCCTTTATCGCTTCAGAACGCAGAACTATTGAAGTTTTTGCAGGGATCGGACTACTGCGTAGAAACTATGTAGAGACTACAACAGAACTGGTTTGCTTGTTAGTTTGGGGCTTCGGCCGTGGGTTACACTAGACAGGGGAGATATCCAGCTCTTATTGGCTTTCTTAAAAGAGTTTTTGTTCAAAGCGACGGACAATGACCAGGGCGTAATGCGCCACAGAAACCTCTTTTTATGCCTTTGTCCGTCTCTTCCAGCACCCCCAAAATCAAAGAAAATATAAGAGGATAGTCCCATACGGCACCCATCCGCTCAAAATCTGTATACTTTCCCACTTTCAGTGGCTCGAGAGTGGAATTGGGCGTTTTTCGTACTAAACTAACAAACATAGTAGGGATTATATACTCCACATCACTTAGGTAAATCAGACAAACCTTTTTGCTTCTCCTCTTACGACAGGATGAACTGAGGATAACCTGCGGAGAAAGAAGAGACCGGGGAGGGGGTTCCGTGTTACACATGCTTACCAGCCAAGCTTTCCGAACGGGCACTAAAAAGGTAAGCAATGCGTATTTGGCAGATTTAAATCAAGTAAATTGTATGGAACTCTGTTATGCCTCGTATATACTGTACTGTGGTCCAAGAGATCCCGAGTCGTAAATTCCATAAATCCGACACAGTAAAGTGTCAACAGAGAGACTTCCCCGTCTAGGAAGGATCGCCCCGCCGAGCCAACTGAACAAGCCAGGATAGAGGAAAGTCAACCATGCAAACATAACAAAGGAAAAGAATAATAAAAGGGACTGGAGTTTCTATAAGCAGCACAATCGTAGCAATTGCATAGAAAAACATATCATAGGTAAACACAAAACACAGAAATCGTGTGAAAACACGCGTGAAGACACGAGTCAAGTCGGAAGCGCCTACCCATCACCCCCGCTCACTCTACTATTATGTACATAGTCCAGCTTCCACACTAAACAAGCTTCCTCCTCCACCACACATGAAACAAAAACCAAGAGACCACCAGAGCGACTACCTAAACCAACCCTTGCAAATTCAAACCAGTTTGCAGAGTTGCCAGACCCCAGCCCTTGATCCCCCCCCCCCCACCCCCCCAAGGGGTTCGTGCGCGGCGGCCGCTGTCGGTTCGGTTCTTTTGGCCGATTACACTAGTGGTCCAGCCTTCGGCTTTCCCCTCCCTCACCAAAAAAAAAAATCCGAGAACCCCCCTTGCCTCCCATCCCTAACCCCGGCCACCGATGACCAGGATTTAGGGCCGGCGGAGATAGGAAGGGCGGAGGTCGGGAGGTGGGGGACCTGGGAAGGTGCGAGCGGCGCGCCGGAGGTTTCCATGGGGTTTGGGGATTGGGGGGAAAGAGAGAGAGAGAAAAGGGG